AGGCGGTGGCAACTTCTCAATCACGTCAACCTTAGCATGGTCAACCTCAATTCCCTTACTGGACACTCGATGCCCCAGGACTATCCTTCTTGTACCATAAAATGGCACTTCTCCCAGTTCAGCACTAAATTTGTCTCCACACATCTTTTGAGCACTCTTCTTAAGTTGTAAGTCAGTCCTCGAATGAATCCCCCACCACAGAGAAATCATCCATAAAAACCTCCATAATGTCCTCCACCATGTCTGTGAAAATGGCTAACATGCACCGTTGAAATGTCGTCGGTGCATTGCAAAGCCCAAAAGGCATTTTCCGAAAGGAATAGATGCCATACAGACAACTGAATGATGTTTTCTCTCTGTCTTCGGGGGATATTGAGATCTGATTGTACCCCAAATATCCATCCAAGAAACAAAAGTGCGATCGCCCGGCCAGCCTGTCCAACATTTGGTCAATGAATGGCAGGGGGAAGTGGTCCTTCTGGGTGGCTGTGTTTAATTTCTGGTAATCCATGCAAATCCGCCATCCCGTGACTGTACGATTCGATATCAACTCGTTGTTCTCATTTTGTACGACCGCCATTCCCCTTTTTTCGGCACACATTGAACAAGGCTAACCCAATTGCTGGTAGAGATGGGGAAGATGATTCCCGGATCTAACCATTTGATCACTTCCTTCTTCACCACCTCTTTCATATTAGGGTTCAGCCTTCGTTGATGTTCTCTGGAAGGTTTGTGCCCTTCTTCCAAGAGAATCTTGTGCATAGGGCTGCTTATCGGGCGGATTGAGCGGTTATTTACTCTTAACGGTTTGGCTTAACGGTTATCAGCTTTTAAATGTATTAGTCCATTAGCCACCCGATAAGATATCGGGCGGATTGGTATCAGTTTAGCTCTTATCGGGTGGTTATCGGGCGGTTTATCGACCTAGATTCATTAATAGAAATTATCCTCAACTAGGTACTGTCGTACTGAAGTCATTCAAATCTCAAATGTTTATCCAACGATTTTCATCTTTTGGTTCACTTCAAAGCAACTTACTTCAAAATAATAGTTCCTTCTAGGTAATTGTACCAATAATATACATGTCCAACTAAGCTAAGGAACCAATCTCATTAGATACCAAAAATAAAATGTCAACATGAAAACATCTTAGGCTTAACTACAATGTGGGAACTAATCACTCAACGCAGTAGGACTGACTCACCTTCTCTAGAAACTTAACGAACAACACGGACTGTCTATTCTGAAATCACCAACTTTTAAGATCCAACAACTGCTGCTCAAACTTATCTAATTTGTAACCGTTAAATGATAGCCACCAAGACCACAGTTAAGCAGTTAAACTAGTAATCCACATCTTGCACCAAAGGTAGAGATACTTACAAGCCCAATCATAGTATCCTTCCAAAATCAACTTTTATTCGACTTAAGTCGTTGGGCAAAAGGAAAGAGTGCAAGAATAGCCTTTTGCAACTAAACATGCTGAGCATTTTGTCCTGCTAGCACACTAAAATTTTCCAACTTAGAGAATAGACTATAGAGTATAGACTATAAAGACAGAGACGGGTTATTTTTTTTATTATTCAAGTTCAAGGGTTTTTGTTCTTTTATATTTAATATATATAAATAAAAATAAATTATATATATATATATATTTAATTATTTATATCCTTAACGAGTTAACGGATTATCTGTTAAGAAAATTGAATAATCCGCCCCCAAATCGATAAGCCGTTAATAAAAAAATTTCAATCCGTTCCCCGTCCGTTAAGCCGTTACCAGTAAGCCATTAAGCTTTGGTTCGGTTCGGTTTTCGATTTTGGATCGGTTTTGAGCACCCCTACTTGTGCATACAGAAGGCTGGGCTGATACCCTTTATGTCTGCTATGGTCCAACCAATGGTAGTCTTACATTCCTGTAGTGCCTGTAGAAGCTGTTGTACCTGCACATCTAGCAAACGGGATGATATAATAACAGGCAAAGTAGAATCAGGCCCTAAGAAAACGTACCTGAGGTGTGCTGGGAGCGGTTTCAGCTCCAGCTTGGGTGGTTCCTCTACTGATGGTTTTGCCGGAGGCGTAGCCCTTTTTTCTAACTCAAGGGACTCGATTTGAGGTTCCCTTTTCCAGAATTCTTGGCCTTCAAGTGCCATGACCCACTCAGCCAACCCTTCACCATCCATCTCCTCTAAATTTGTCAGGCAGGCCTCCAATGGATCTTTAGCAGCCAGGGTCACATCATCTTCGTGCAGGATCACATCCACTGCCTCCACTAGGGAGCAATTAGCATATTCACTGAGTCTCCTCATGGATTGCTGAACGTTGAATATGACTTCTTCATCGTTCAGCCTCATTTTTAATTTCCCAGTTTCACAATCGATCAGTGCTCTCTCAGTGGCTAAGAATGGCCTCCTTAAAATGATAGGTATCTCCTCATCTACCTGACAATCTAGAATAACAAAATCTGCATGGAACACAAACTTTCCCACTTGTACCAACACATCATCAAGAATTCCAGTTGGCTTTTTAACCGTGCGGTCAGCCAGTTGCAACATCATCGAAGTCGGTCTAGCTCTGCCAATGCCCAGTTTGGTGTATATAGCAAGAGGCATCAAATTTATGCTGGCTCCAAAGTCACATAATGCCTTTGCAAAGGCATAACTTCCAATGGTGCACGGAATAGTAAAACTACCTGGGTCAGACATCTTTTGAGCCATGGGTCTTGTCACTACTGCACTGCATGTCTGAGTCAGAGTTATTGTGGATAGGTCCTGAAAATCAAACTTCCTTGACATTAGATCTTTCATCATCTTTGCATAGCCTGACATCTCCCTCAAAGCATCCATCAGAGGAATATTCAACTGAATTTGTCGCAGCATCTCCATGAATTCCTGTATTGATCTTCCTTCTTTTGTTTTATCAGTCTCTGAGGAAATGGTGCAGGTATCACCCTTTATGCACTGTTTGCTGGCTTCTCTCTGTTGGGGTTCTGTGGCACAAACGGTACCACCTGTTCTGCAGCTTGTTCACTCACCTTATCCTTACCCTTGTCATCCTGAACCTGTTCAACCACCACTTCAGTAAGTTCTGCTGGTTCATCTACCTCTAATGGAACTGGAGTGGCTGGCGTAGTCTCTTTGCTGGCTTGTGCAACTTCCTGCTCTTTGTCTAAATCTCTCCCATTCCTGAGACTTACTGCCATCAGTTGATTTAGGTTTTGCTCCTTGGGGTTAATGTTTGTGTCCGCTGGCAATGTTCCCTGGGGGCGGTTGTTTAAAGCCATAGACAGCTGCCCCAACTGAGTTTCAGTGTTCTTTATTGCTGAATCATGCACTGTCAACTTTTCCTGCATCTTAGCATTTGTTCCAATGAGTTGTTGAAGCATACCCCTGATCTCCACCATGTTGTTATCTTAAACTAATAATTCTAACACTACTTCTAAGTTGTAATAAATAACACCGTTAGTTCCCCGGCAACGGCGCCAAAATTTGATCACGCCCAACTATGCCTTCTAAAAGACAAAGCGGTCGTTGCAAATATAATCTGGTTTTAAGTCCGGAGTCGAATCTTCAGGGAACTAACCTATCTATTACAACTCTTTGGCAATGCTATTATCAACTCAACCAATTTCTAGATGCAAGATTTTTATCAATCACTTGGGTTTTTGTTTAACTACTTCAAATATTATTAGAAATAACAATATGCTAGATTAAAGATAATTCAATGGTAAAAAGTCTGGGGAAGTGATTTCCCCAATTGCTAGTTTAGGTCTTGACTCTTTCGCTATAATCTCGTCGTAATACTCTATGCGGAGGAAGAGCTATGGGCTATCGTAATTATCTCTCGATCAACTACAATAATTTACTAGAGCATTCTCTCGAACTACTCTAGCTGACAATATGTGCAACTCTAAATTATCCCACCAAAGTTTCGTTATCTCTAAACCCACTTTTAAGTTCTAGTAATGAATCTCTTCAATTACTCAAAAGTGGTGTTGTTGAACAACAGTCTAACCTAATATTCTTTCTCAAGGAATATGAGGTAATTAGACAAGATTAATCAATGGCCCATTCAATTAATCGCCATACAAAACGTAGTTGAACAATCATAGAATAATTCCGGCTCGATTATAACAAGTTGAGTCAAAACTTCAATCAACAATTGGTTCCATCAACCCTAGATAATTGTTTAGCTACTCATAACAAAATAAGATAAAACTACAAAGTTGATCATAATGTATAATTGCAAGAATTAAAAGGAGATAGAAAAACTCTAATGTTTGGTTGATCTTCTCACACTTGTTCTTGCCTCCAAAGTAGTCTAAAAACAAGCTTAATAATATTTTGGGCGAGCTTCTAGAGTTTATAAGGGTTTGGAATAAGTTTTCCCCGAGTTACACTTTGGTCCCCAAATTTTCTGGCAACTAAACAGTTCACCGCTGCCGCGGCACGACCGCGGCGCGACCGCGGTGAAGGCTAAACATTCTGCCTCTCATTAGTTGTCTGCCGCGGTCCAACCGCGGTCCCACCGCGGGCGCGGTGGATTTCACCTCAGTCCATTTTTGCTTCTTTATGCTCGGGTGCTTCTTGATTGGACGTTTTCTTCACATTATTGACTCCAAAACACTCTGTAGTGCTTCCTAACTTAGATTATTCCCTGCGAAGCAAAAGAACACCAATTAGAGCATTTTGTTATCAATTCACCTATAAAACAACAACAAAACATGGTAATATTAAGGTATAAATATCATCTATATAGCCTATTATCAATGTGCATAATGTTTTTTTTCAATGGAGATCTTGCTGAGGAAGTGTATATGACTGTGCCTCAGGGATTTAGTAGTCAGGGGGAGTATAAGGTGTGTAGACTACTCAAATCCTTATATGGCTTAAAACAAGCCTCTAGACAATGGAATGTGAAGCTGACACATGCTTTATTATCCTTAGGCTTTCAGCAGAGCAAACATGATTATTCCCTGTTTACTAGGATCACTAACAACAAGTTTGTGCTTATCCTCGTATATGTAGATGACTTGCTAGTCACAAAAAAGAATACTTGTTTAACGGGTAGGGGTATTTTTGGAATTCTGCAACCAGGGTACGTGTAGTCGTCTGCTCTAGGTTTTGACATGTGCTTACAACACTGCATTTTAGCTAACGCAATTCTCATCTTCACTGGAGGTTCCTCTGTGCTCTGTGTGAAAATTCCCCAAATTCCTCCTGCTTTCGTTCATCTCCGTCCCTCTCCTCTAGCACTGTTAGATTATGTTGCATTGTCCGTGGAGCTATCCGGTGAGTTTACTTTTGCGCTCTTCTCTCTTCTTTGATTTTCTCAGCTTCTGTTATTTTTAAATTATTATCCCATCACAGGTCCTATTCGATTAAACTGTATAATTGGGGTAAAACAGTTGGTCGATGGTTTCTCTCTTTTGTATATACTTCTCAATCGCCAGAATTAAATTTTCTGAGATGACTTTACCTGGGATTTCGGAGCTGTTTGCATAGTTTTGGCTGGTTTACTTCTGAATTTAGTTGACTTTTCCTTTTTCCTACTGTGGTTGTGAAAACGAAATTGAATTTATTATTTGCACATACCTAGAGCAGATTTCTCGCATTGGAATATGATATAACCAAAAGAGTACACAATAGACAAACAATTACATAGAACCAAATTTATCAGCAACGTATGTATAAGTAATATAGTCTACCACTCTACCCAGATCAGAGTCTCGAGGCAGAACAATATTCTCTCTCTTTGTATGCAGCCAACAATATAAAAATGTTTAACATTTTTATGTGTTGTAACAGAGACGGACAAAATCATTAATGACAAAACGTAGACATGTTTGCCTCAATGTCTCACTGCATAAGTAGATTTCCACCATTGCAGTCACCAATAACTCTAAAATTTTCATTTTTAAGGCAAAACTATTGCGGCACACCAACGTGGATTAAACCATATCATAATCAAAAGCTTTTGAACGATCTTTAAAACAACCAGTAGCGAGTTGGCGATCATGTCTTAAAGGTCCACAATATCAACAAAATTCTACCAAAAAGGAAAGTATATGATTAGTCACCAAACATAGTTTGGAATATTAACATTTAGAGACTTCAGGGATATAATTTATTCAAGGAAGGTTCACTGTTGGAGCAGAGGTAGTTTGAAGTAAATGGTAGAATGTCATTAAATGAACTATGACATTGTGTTCATGTGAAGTTTTCTACGAAGGATTATACCTGCAAATCTTTTACTTTAGTAGAAAAAATAAGATATCATTTGTTGCACCTGTGTATCTGATAGCAGACCAACTAAACTCAGTGAACAAGCAAAATATCACAAAGAGAAAGAAATGGACTTTTTTGTATCTTTCTAATGGAATACACCAGCAGAAGTTCCAGTACAAAGAACTAGTAAAAAAGAAGAGGGGGAAAAAAGAAGAATAGAAGCAGTAGGTCCAGCGACCCTCAACTTACCTAGATACGTGCCAAGAAAATATTGAGGCATAATCATTTGAGTAAAGCATCTCGGTATTTTTCTTGATCAAGTAAGAATAGTAAACTGCTCTGCAACAGTATCCGCCCTCCAAAATAAAGCTAATTGCTTCAAAAGACTAAAACATAGAAAATGGGAAACCAAACTTTTCTTTGTCAATAAGAACTTATATATGGAACATTAAATAGTCCAATAAACACTTACTACAATCTGAGAGCATTGTCTGATGCATGAATTAGCGAATAATAAATCTTTAAATTATCTCATCTCATCCACATAAAACGGAAAGAAAACGAAGAAACAGACATAGTGAAGGGAAATAGTCTGTCAGGCAAGATGGCGAGGTCATAAAATGACTCAACGTTAGAAATTATTCAAAGCTTAACTTGTTGTAGAAATTAGTTATCTACATGGCAGAAACTTTGAACATTGACTATGTGAGCACATGGAATGACTATCTTTCTAACTCATACAGTCAAATGTGCGCTTAAACAAGACAGTGGATCAGTCACAAGCGCAGCTGCTTCAAACAGAGGAGGTGTAGGAGCTATGGGAAGGAGCACGCGAGCACCAGGTGCTTGTGCTGCTGTAAGGCCCCTTCCTGCTCTCAAGGAGAATGTCAAGAGGTTATGTTTTTGTATTGGGTGATACCCTTTTTTGCTTGAGCCCGACCGGGTTGGGTCCGGTCCGGGGCAAGTCGGGGCCATCGAACCCGACCTGGATGCAAGGTAGAACGACGGCCACGTCTACAACCGAGGTCGAGTCATTTCGAGACCGTTGCAGAGCTCGATATGAGTCACCACCGGATGGAGAAACACACAAGGTCGGAAGCCGGACTCGTAACGGATAACCAAGCGTCGCCGGATATCTCGCCCAAACGTGATTTTCTCAACCACTTCAGGCCATTAAGGCGTAATTACAGGGATCCACGATGTAATTAATTTACCTACCTTATTTTTACCCTTAATCGGAATGTATAAAAGGGGAGAAGACCCCATAAGGAGGGGACGGGAAAAAAACCATTACACTACAGTACCATCTCTCTAAATTCTTGTACGCTATCAAGCACAATTGTTCTAGGCAATATTATATTCTGCGATTATTTACTTTAACAGCAATTGTTGAGTCTTTATCTTTATTTTACTCAACCTAAACCTTTTGTATCTTTTAGTTCACGGATCCTTAAAACCCCATATAAATTCAATTGTTATCCGGATTCCAGGGTAAACAGTTTTATTATTAGAGAAGTTACTCGCTAAACCGGCTATATGATGTGGATATTGGTTGAATTGCTAGGAGTCATGATTGCCACTAAAATGGCAAGATTTTTTTCTTTTGAAAATTCTTAACTTTTATTAATCACACCTTGGCTTGGCTTTACTTTGATGTGTGTGATCGGCTATTGTTTTGAAGTCTTGCACATTGGCTCATGAAATTTCGATTGTGTAAGGTGTGTCAGTTTAGCAAGTCATTTGCACATGATGTTTGTGGTGTCAAACAGTCCTTGAGGAGCTTGATTGCCTATTGTCGTAGTATGCCTATTTATTTTTTTATTTGGTCCTTGCTTGTAGTATTGCTCCTGCGCTCCCGGCTTAGGTGCCTATTCGGAGACTAACGTGACAGGAAAAAATGCACTTTCTCAAAGAAACTAGTGGTTAAGATGCCATAAATTCGAATTAGGGCAAGTGTCACGATCCAATTTTTTCCTCCGTTGGGTTTCGTGATCGATGGCATTAGGTAAGCCTACTAAAATGCGAAATAACAACAATAACTAACAACAGCTAGAATTCTTCTGAGATAAATCTTTTAAACAATGAACAACTTCCCCAAAACCCGGTAGTACAAGTCATAAGCTCTACGGAGTTTCACTACAACTTCTAAACACAACCGAATGGAAATAAGTACAACAGTGTGAATATAAAATAGGAAGGTGACTCCAAAGCCTGCGAACGCAGCAGCAGGGCTACCTTGAGTCTCCTCGGCAAGAATTCGAACAGCTACTAGCGAACAATACCTGGATCTGCACAAAACAAATGTGCAGAAGTGTAGTATCAGCACAACACAGCGGTGCCCAGTAAGTATCAAGACTAACCTCGGTGGAGTAGTGACGAGGAGCAGTCAAGACACCCACTGGTCTAATAAGCAGAACAAGTATAAGTATAGAAACAACCGAACGTGATAACTATATAAAGGATAGGCGATATTGCTAACAATGCAGTAACTACAATAAGGGAAGGAAACAACCAGCAACGGTGGAAAACCATAATAAAGCTCATAAAAGGGAACAAAAAATACAACCCAAATTCGAAATTCACAAATACAGTAAGGACAGAACATAAATCAGCAACTACGACAGCTTCCACGTTAGGTCATAGCAAACAACTTCAATCAATTAATCAAATCTTTAAGTTGATAAAAACATTTCGAATTATACTTCTTCAAGTAAACATTTTTCTGAAATAGTCCTCTAATAATGAATACCTTTCGAATATAACCTTTTCAAATAAATAACCTTCGAATATAAGTCACCCTGTGACACCTCCTCTCATAATCATACAATACGGGTCTCAATATCTGAACCCTAACACTTGGCATCCTGTGCCCTCATCGCACCTCAAAATCATACTGACATCTCACGTGCCCAAAAGAGTCACTCTCACATGGAAGGAAAAATAAACAAAGGTGTGCGTCTATATTCAGAAATCTCAAGGAGGCTCCTATCCGATAAGGGTGCTTAGCCAAGTGTATGCTTGTGCAAGTATCCTAATTCATACCAGCTAGTAAACATAAGGACAAGAACGGACAACACATATACTGTTTACATGGGGATATGATCAATGAAAATAACATCTCAGAACACAGTGATAATAACAGGGGATCTCCCAAGATAACGCCACGTAGTCTCAAACGTAAATGTACAGAGGATCTCCCGTGATACCGTCCCGTAGTCCAAATATAAATGTACAGAGGATCCCCGGGGATACCGTCCCGTAGTCCAAATATAAATATCCAGTGGATCTCCCGGGTGTCGTCCCGTAGTCCATCTCATAATGCGCAGGGGATCTCTCGGGTGCAGTTCCGCAGTCCCAAAAGTAAATGTGCAGGGGGATCTGCCGGAATACCGATCCGTAGTCCCAAAGTAAACATGCAGGGGGGGATTTCCCAGGGTATCGTCCCGTAGTCCCAAAGTAAATACACAGCGCAACATACAGAAATAACAGTCACAGCACAATAGAAAGCTCGTACATCACCACGATACATATAACAACAACAAAAATGACAATAATTCAAGGTAAGACAAATAGTCAACTCAAGGACCATAAATCATAAGGAAACGATAGAACCAACTCACAAGGATTTAACCACAGAAAAGAACGCTGGCATAAAGGGAACAGTTCAACACGGGAAAACTAACGTATAGCGACGATCCCACAATATACAAGTCAATAACAAGGAAATCAACACGAGTCAAGTAGTCCCAAATAAGGGCGAGTCAACAAGGATATCGGTTATCTAACTCTTTCTAAGGTTGGACAAATTTCGAGGTTATTCCACAATACAATTAGGGAAAAATGATCTTTAGCTTCACTTAAGACTAAATAAAATTTCAGGAAGGATAATAATGATTCTCAAATAAGACAAACAACTATACAAAGATAACATGACAATAGGAGAAGCGAAATTCTTCTGTTAAGTCAAATAGGAGTCGATTAGGCAATAAGAGTGACTCATGAAGCAATAAATTCCAATTGATCATGTCGAGGTGAAACAAGTAAATAGGAAACTCAGTCATGTCAAGAACACATTCCTACACAGTGAATATAAAGACCTAAGAACCCTAAAAGGCCAATTTTCCAAAAATAAGTCCGAGCACGCACTCGTCACCTCGTGTACACGAACTACAATCAACATAGAAGATTCAATCCTAAGGGGAAGCCCCCACACAAGGTTAGGCAAGATACTTACCTCAAAAACGACACACTGAGACTCAAGAATGCACTTCTCGGGTGAAAATATCTCCGGACGGATCAAATCTAACCAAATTAACTTCAAAACACAAATAAAACACATAAGAAACTATTCCGGATCCTAAAGTTTCAATCTTTAACAAAATCTAACAATCGGTCCAAAAGTCGACCCTCGGGCCCGCACCTCGGAACCCGACAAATTTTACAAAAATCCGAATACGCATTTCCAATATGAGTTCAACCATACAAAAATTACCAAATTCCAATACCATTTTATCCCTCAAATCATGAAATTTCGTTTTGCAAAGTTTCTTCAAAAACCAACATTTTCCCTAACTAAAAACACAATTTAAATGATAAAAACAAAGACTAATTCATGTAATATATTTAAGTCTCAGTGAAGAATACTCATTCGAATTATCTGAAGAACCCACCAAGAATCACTCAAAATCGAGGTTTACAAGTCAAAATATGGTAAAAATGGTGAAACCCTCAATTTTGGGATATATTCTGTCTGCCACTACTACAAAAAAGGCCTTTGGTGGCAATTATTTAGCGGCAATAAGGTAATTGTCGCTAATGAATTATTTAAGCTGAAATATTAGCTGCACATGACCATTAGCCAGTAAAAGATATCCTTTTAACGACAATAAAATTATTGCCACTAAAAATCACTATTGAATTAAACTTTTTATTATTTTAATTAACTTTCCCTCCTTACAAAGAAAATAAATCTTTCCCTCCAATTTTTTGGGACAAGAAATTACATTCCCTCCCATTAAAAAACCCTACAATTAGAAAAACAGTAGGAAAAACCCTGTAATTAGAACGAAGAATGACGCTAGGAAACGATATAGAAGAATGACGCTAGGAAAACCTACGCGTTAACAGTATCACTGCAAAAGCCTCCGTCCTGCCACGGTCTCCGGCTATCCCAGGCCGTTCTCAATCCATTACATATAATTTTGGGTTGATGCTGCTCGATTATTCTCAATCTTTGCTGTCAATCTTCTCCCTTTCATTCGTCTTCAACTTCTGTTTTCGTGTAGGTTTCAAGAATTATTGCAAAAAGAGTTCATCTCCGTCAATTTCTTGTCTTAATCGGCAAAAAATTCTGCTTACCAGGTACCAATTTTTTATTTTTGACATCCAACTATGGCCTTTTGGGATTAGTGAAAGTATAGTTTTTTCTGTGTTTACTAAGTCGTTTGTGATATCTGGCTATTGTTAGATTGATAGTCCATTGATTGAATTGATTCCTCCTATGTTGCTCTATTGTTTTTGAATTGATTCCTCTGTTTTCTAAGGCTACTGTTATTTTTGTGATTTTTAAAAATTTACTAAGTGTCGTTGATGCATATTGATGTTTTAGTTGAATGCCGGTAGTCGAGATATGAATTCAGCCGTGTTCAAACCTTTTTCCCGAGTATGATATATATATTGTTTTTACTCTCTTGTTAGTTGGTGATTAGTGCATTATTAGGCTTATTATTGATTTCTACCATATTACAAAGAGGAGTTTTAGCGGCTAAAAGGTTCGCAAAATATTTTGCAATTGGTTAGTTTGTCGGCGTGAAGGTCTGAAAGGATCAGAATAATCTTTTACTTATATTTAAATACTAAAAGTATCTATTCAAAGTGAAATCTGGAAAAAAAATAGCAGTATCGGATAACTGAGAATAGATAGAATAGAAGAATGAGATAAACGAGTATGTACATAACAGGTTGGTTGATCGTACGATTAGCATTCATCATCATGGAAATCTGAGTTTCTTTGATAATTCTTTCAACTTCTGGGCTGGAAAAAGGCAACCCAGGAGTGCTGTGTCACACTACTTGATCATCCCCCACATTCTCAACCAAATTATTCTCCGAGGCAACTTGTCGAATACCCAACTTCTTAGAAAGATTTTCACTTGACTAATCATGTTTGCTACTGCTAATACATGGTGTAATTTCCTGCATCAATCTAGTATCCTTGACTGTTAGAGAGTTAACACCAACGTTCACCTCTTCTGCTAGTGCTTCAAAACTATTTGGACTTGTGACAGCCTTTGACGCGGTTTGTCGAGCAGTTGGAACACTCATATTCTGCTGCTGATTCTTCACACCTGGAGCAACATTTCACTTAGTAGGAGACCTCATCACTATTGTCCATTTGTCCCCATTTTGCGCACCGACTTCATCAGTAGCAGCTGCATTATTTTGTGCACATGACTTAGCAGCTAGAAATAATGAAGTTGTGATCAGTTAGCTAGAAGTAGATAGAATATCCTTCAATATTCCATCTTGAAATCGCTAGATTCTCAACAAAAGTAGATAGAGTATTCTTCACATTGCTGGGCATGTTAAATCAACATGTGTGCCTTAGGATCACTTCACATCTGAATAATCAAAGAATGATTGTAGCTTTTACTATAAAAGCATTTCAAATGCTCCACTATACTTCAGAAATCTCTTCTGAAGTCATAGGGAAGTAAGCATTCAGGGAATTTTGACGATGTTCGAAAAGCTACTTCACATAGGTACACAAAAGCAAATACAAGTTTACAAGGCAAGACGAACATATGAGTATGAATGTGGATACAAGTAGACAATACGATGTAAACAAGGTTATTACTGGAGATATGAGAACAAACCCTGCCATAATACTTAGGAGCCCCTGAGATTTAGAAGGTAAAAATGCTTGAACCGCCATGCACATTCCTGAGGGTACTTACTTTATAAGCAAATGCAAATGGATATTTTAAATAAAAATTGAAAGGCGAAAAGGCAGTAACTATCCAGGGGGAGAGATAGAGAAACCCAAGCAGATACCAAAGTATGTAATACAAGCTAGAGGAAGAGAATCATAAAGTACCCAAATATGCAAAATACAGTAAACTCTCAATTTGGGTAGTATAACATTCCATCTTAAAAATGATTTCTCCCACCAATCCTCTAGCCTTCTTATCCCCAGATCTTGGAACTGGTAGTTTGGGAATTCCATTTTGTTGAATGCATAAGAACCTTTCGTTCTTTCTGTAGAAAATTACAAGAAGTTGTGCAATTTGTATGTCTATGTTGTCCAAGCACCAAACTGGATTTCAGACGCTTCAAATTCCCTTTTGAAAAAATTTCCATTCTAAAATACCCATTGAAGGTTCTCCAAAAGCTACTGAAAGAGAACTTGGAAGCTTTAGATGCATTTTGTATTGTTTAACCACTAATATTATACGGCTCATCTCAACAATCATACCAATTGGAGCTCTTTAGTGATAATTGTATGCTTCCAAGCAGTAATACCAAATTTCTATTATATAAGTGCCAAGCCTAGTAAGTCTCTCAGAATGTATATCGCTCCTAATGAAATTAGTAATATTGATATCACTGTCCCAACTTTTGTAGATTTTTATCCAGCAACAGAACCTGTAGTAACACCACCAGCAACCACATGATCTTTAGTTGTAACATATTTGCCTGAAGAATCACAAACATGTCCAGTCCTTGGATTTGTAGCTGTTTTCTTTGAAGTATCAAGTACATGTCCAGCACCTTTAGCCATAGGAGTTTGTCCAGTTGCTTTCCTCTCACTCTGATCATCCTTAATCCCTTCAGTAACACCAACATATCGCGCGTTGTCCAGCTTTGTCATGACTGTCACACATCTGCCTAGCTTGTACAACTGGATTTACATCATTGTAAATTCTCTCTAAGGCTTTAGAAGCAGGAACATCACGTGTAGGTTTAGCCTGACCCTTCACAAGCATTAATTCATCACCTCCATTCCCTTTCGATTTAGGCTTAGTAACATTTATCGCATTACCATTCCCAGGTGCCGCAGGATTCAAAACACCAGCTACTATAACAGTAGTGATGGATTCAACTTCCTTAGGCGGCAATTGCACCAGCTGTTGTTGATCATGAGTCACCTCTGATGCTTTCACAACATTAGTAACCACAGGAGCATTAGGATCAACAGTAGCACCTGATGCGATCTTAAAATATCTAACAACACTAGATTCACCATCCACTCGATTAGTGATCGCATTAGTATTTTCCTTAGGTTTCACATGAACATTATCACTTTCAGTAACATCTTTGTCAGCACTCTCCTTTTGTTATGCTAATTTAGCATTTAAAATCTCCCTCGCACCTCCTCAATTTTTATCAATATCAGTGCACAATGTTTCTGCATTCTCTTGTGACTTTACTGTTTGTTTTCTCAGAATCACACGACAGTCCTCCTCTCCATGCCCTTGATGTTTACAGTAGCTGCAGTACAGTGGAAAATCATCATAAATTATCTCTTGCACATGTTCAACAATTTCACCATTTGCTTCATTCAGAAACTGCAGCCTAACCTTGTCAGGAAGCTTGTCAAGCAAATCAAGCTCGACTTCCATCCTAGCAGTGCTAGATCAAGATTTTATCAATGTAGCCTTATGAATTGCCATTGGCTTACCAGCAGCAGCTATAGAGAAAAGAGCCTGCCTAGCAAAGAGATTAGGCAGCAGATTAGGCAAAGAAATCCATACAAAAGCCCCGGACGTCTATGGGAACACCCTAATCTGAACTTCTTGCCCATTGCACTTTAAATAATAAATAGATTTGGAGGCAACTAAAACATAATCCTGATAAAAGCATAGAATTGGATAGAAGGACACTGCATAAGCTGTTTAGTCATCTCCTTAAAAGTCGTCAGTAGAAGTAGCCAATGTTTCTAGTATCATAAGTATATCAATAGTTGTCAAGAATTCTCATGACTTGCCTTTCTATATAAAAAAGAATACTCAGGCAGCCAAAAAACTGTTCCCTACAGATGATTGTCTGTCACTTTGTGCAGAAGCTGACATGAAACTACAATAATACATATGAAATCTTTATTTATGGAAGCTCATAGAATGTATCTGAAAAAGTTTAGCTCGCTTATCTGTAGTATGAAGGCTATTAGTGTGCTACTATAAGTGCTAAGATAAAAGTCAGATTAATATTAGTCTCTACCGGCCATTCAAGCACAAAAAATCAAATTCTAAACATCCCTGAAGATCTAAAGATCAGCATAGCTGAAATACTGAGACAAAGTGCCAGAGTGAACAGTAGAAGGTCAAACAGAAAGGATATCCTCTCCTAGTCCTGTCTTCTTTTCATCTCTCAAGATCTCTTCTCCCTTAATTCTATGCTTTTCTGTTGATCTGTCTCTTTGTGTGAGCCATCATTTTGCATATCATTTGCCCGTTTACACTATTTTTTGGGCAAAAGGTGTAAAAATGGAGAGTATTTGAAAAGTTGAACTTGAGAGAATAAAGAATAAGGTATATTTGATTTTGATTAACAAACCTACTTATCTAGATAGAAAAATAGGTGCCCTTTGAATCTAAAAAGCTGGTTTGTCAAACTTGTGCTCCTGCTACACGCCTGCCCTTTGAAATAGGTATTTAATTGATTGTATGTGAAGTTTGTCAAATTTGTGCTGCTGCTGCTGCTACTTGCCTGCCCTTTGAAATAGGTATTTAACTGGTTGTATGTGAAGTTTGTCAAAGTGTGCTTCTGCTGCTACTTGCCTGCCCTTTGAAATAGGTGTTTAACTGATTGTATGTGAAGTTTGTCAAACTTGTGTTGCTGCTGCTACTTGCCTGCCCTTCTAAACAAAGTCACAACACACAACAATAAACAACTCTAATCCCTCCATACATAATCTTCCATCCTGATGCACCACATATTAGGGGCTAACGTTCTTAGACAATGACTTCAGACCTTTTTTGAAAAGATGAAAATAGTATTTTGTAAACATATCTGTTTCCTCTCTTCCCTAGTGTTCTGTGATCCATGCTCATATTACTTCAAGCACATTTTAACTTACAGACACTTTCTTTGTCTAATCTATTTAGTGTTATGAGCATATTAAAGTGACATGCTTCACTATTATTATATTTCATCTATTGACATCGTTATTTTATAATTTCAGGTCATATAGTCTGATGTTCGATAATTTAGCGGGTGGAAGATTTCAATATGACGAAGAATTGCAGAGATTATTTGAAGACTGTTATTCGTTAAGATTAGTTATATTATAATGACATTAGCTATTTACTTCAAACATATAAGTTTATTTTTTAAGGTATTGTGATATTAATATCTTGGATTAGTACTTTCTTTTGTTTGTTAAGATTTAACGAGATATACTGTGGTATTATGAATTAATATTAATATATTTTGTTATTTGCATTATTTTTTGGTCGAATGTAGTAGCTATTATTAATGGTGGCTAAACTTACCGTTATAGCTTGTGACTTTTAGCGCCAATTTAACAGGATATACCGGCTATAACGATAATAGGATAAATTAAGACGTTTATACAGGGATATTGTAGCCATTATATTGCTATTAGAGATGATTTTTAGCGGCAATTTAATTAACTTTATTAGCCATTAAAATGGACGCTAAAGGGGCATACTAATACGTTTTTAGAAGAGATATTATTGCCACTCCAATTGCCACAAAACAATTACCGCTAAAGGTATGAACTTTTAGCGACAAATATTTTGAATTTAGCGGCTATAAAAATGGACGTTAAAGGAGCATTATTAGCCATTTTTAGAATGGATTTAGTATAATAATTGCCGCAAACAATTGCCGTTAAAGCAAATGAGTTTTAGCGGCAATAAGTCATACCTTTAACCAGCTTTTGTCAGAAATGCCGCTAAAGGCTTTACCGATCCCGGTTTCAGAGGCTAAACACCAATTGCCGGTAAATGATATAGCGGCTATTGTTATTGCCGCCAATGCTGTTTTTTATTGCCGCTAATGCCCCTTTTTGTTGTAGTGTGCCCAGACATTTGTACATCGCGATCGCGGAAGAAATGATGCGATCGCGTAGAAGGAAAATAGTCACTGTCCAAGAATGTGCTACGCCATCGCGGAAGGGCTTATGCGATCATGTAGTGAAGGAATTTTCTGCTGCCCAAAGCTACTCTTCGCGATCGCAAAGAGAAAGATGTGATCGCGTTAAAGGAATAATTTGTTGCCCAACAGAAGGAACTATGCGAACGCAGACATAGAAGATGCGAACACGAAGAAGGAACACACAGATTTCCGCGATCGCGAACGTGGTCATGCGAACGCGATGAGCTATTAATACCTCCTCCAAAATTACTCTTCGCGATCGCGGAGGAGCAGGGGCGAACGCGAAGAAGAAAATCACCTGACAGATAACAACAGTTCAAAATGGGAGAAAAATGGCCCTTAGCCCACCCGGAACACACTCGAGGCCCTCGGGACCTCGTCTAAACACAAAAACAAGTCATATAACCTAGCACGGACTCGCTCGAGGTCACAAATCACATCAAACAACGCCGAAACGACGGATCACACCATGAATCGAACTTAGAAACTTTCAAACCTTCCAACTTCCAAAACTCGTGCCGAAACCTATCAAATCAACCCGGAATGACGCCAAATTTTGCAGACAAGTCCAAAATGACATAACGGAGCTGTTCCAACTCTCGGAATTGCATTCCTATCCCGATATCACAAAAGTCAACTATGAGTCAAACCTCTCCATTCTTCCAAACTTCAACTTTTCCAACTTTCGCCGAAACACCTCAAATTACCCTACGGACCTCCAAATCCAAATCCGGACGCGCGCCTAAGTCCAAAATCACCATACGAAGCTGTTGAGATCACCCACGACCCATTCCTGGTCCGTTTACTCAAAAGTCCAATTCTGGTCAAATTTTCACTGTTTAGACTTCCAAAACTAGGTTCCTTCTTCCAATTCAACTTCGATTTATCCGGAAACTGAATCCAACCATGCACACAAGTCGATACTCATATTATGAAGCTATTCCAGACCTTACGCCGCCGAACAGAGCATATTATGAAGCTAAAGTTACATATTTAGCCACTTGGCCCAAAATAATTATATCTGCTAGTCAAATATACAAAAATATGTATATTACACATTAATATATGAAAACTATATATTTTCGACTATTGTTTTTGAAAGCGGTTATACTTTGAGGTTTCTCTTCGAGGAGTTATCGTGTTACAAATCTGAGAAAACAATTTATGACCAGCCTTAATTATGTGTGAGCAAATAATTGTGACAAGTCGACCGATCCATAATGAAAACACCAATAAATATGTATGTAAAATTTTGTGAAATTACGAAAGGTAAAAGTACTAACAAATCTCAAAATAGAATATCAATTAACAAAATCACGAAGGGGTAAGAGACTAACCGGATGCTATTGGACCCGGATTCAAGTGCTGTAGAAAAGAGCCAAAAAATTAATAAACAGAGAGAAAGCCATTAAAAGAAACTATGAACATGACAAAAGAGAAAAATGAAAGGTGGATGACTTTAACGAATGGAAGTGGACACGCCATTCCTTATAAGTGGACACATGGATGAGCTGCCAGGTAAAATCACATATAATACCTAATGGGACACGCGAATTATATTAAAGCAATTTGAAAATACCAAAATAACCTCAGATTAGATTTCAAAGACAGAAAACAGCCATGTTCACCTTATTACACATTTAAGACGCAACTAAACAATTATAACCTTTCTAGCTCAACAATAGGTTTATGTTTAAAGATGTAACTAAATTAGCAGTAACCATATACAAGTAGAATACGAAATCAAGTTATTAACTAATTCTTAATTTAGCCAATCTAAAGTTTCTATGCAAATTCCAAAAAATCTGTGCCTGGCTTATCAATGTGATAACATAAGGAAGAAAAAGCAATCTTAAACTACTTAGGCTACTCAACACATTAACTCATTTTTCAAAAACATAAAAGATGGAAAACAACAAAGGTCCATTTCTAAGTAGAACTCCTTCGACACGAAGAGTGACTACTGGTACATTCCTTGAAAAACAGATGGGACTCGCACGTTCTAATATATACCGATTTGCTTTTTTTTTTTTTTTTTTTTAAAAAAAAAAAAATTGGACCAAGTTTATGAAATGTTCTGCCGGTGAAAAGCTGGGGACCTATAGGTGGCACTTGCGTTACACTTATTATGATCGGAGGTGGAACTATGAAAATTTTCTTCTAAACAATATTTGATTCTGATCATTTTGTTGTCAAACTCCGACCTCGACTCTGCCGATGACACTACCTATGTTCCTTTTCTCCTTGATATCGATAACACTCAGCAATGTGTGTGTTCTATCATCTATATATCTGTAATATCATCACTACAATTGCAGGAATACCAATTCCATGGCCATATAGAAAAATAAGCTCTGAAAACTGAACTTCTACATAATCGGCATTTATGAAAATAAGCTCCAAAAACTCAACTTATTCATAATCAGTACATAAAGGTATCAACAAAGAAGAGACAACCATTAATGGATCAACTTTCAGCTCGAAACACAAACACCGACTTGCAGTACTCGACGATTAACATACAAATCCCATTTATTAAGTTTGACAAAAAACTCAGACTTTAACCAAAAAAAAAAAAGAATCGTAAACAAAAATTCAACTAATACATAAAAAATAATAATAACAAAAAATACCTATGCGTAAACCACCATGAAAACCAGAAGCTACTGAAACAGATAGCAAGAGAGAGTGATTCAAATAGAGAGAAGATAAATTCAGTGATAATCTGGCTGAAAATAATCAAGACTCAAAAGCGAATCTCTCTAGTTCTCTCTGTCTCTTCATAAACCTTATTCTTGATTTCTGGTCAGAGATGCATCAAAGAAAAACACTCAACCTGCAAGTTCTAATGGATGAGAAAGAGGAAGCTGATGGGATTTAGGTACTCTGCCTTTTTTTTTTTTACTAAACTAAATATTACACCAAATCCTGGGTTGGTGTAATATTCGGTGGCAGAAATTCAAGCAAGTAAAGAAACTGAATTTGTTTTCTTGACTTTAATTCATCTCCGAAAAAAAAATTTGCAATTTCATCCATCAAAATCCTAACTCGAAAATCTGTAATTAATTCACTCTGTTTTCATGAATTTGAAACAAAAAAGAAGAAGAAACAGATAGAAAACAATAAAATTGATATTAAAGAATAAGAAAAACACCTGCAAGTTGAAGAGATGAGGAAGACCAAAGATATCTTAGAAGCTCTATAAATTGTGTGATGTAAAGAAATCGGATAAAACCCACCTTTGGAATAACCTAAATGCTACACGAAGTAATTGGGTAGATACAGAAAATCCACGCATACACTACTTATTGGGTTAAATGTCTAAGTTCGTAGCCAAAAATACTTGCTTCAAATAGAGCTGAAAAAAACTATTGGTTTGGCGAGTGGAGCCATGTACTTCAGTCAGTAAGATGAGCCTCTCATTCGCATATTCCGTTGTTGCTAATATAGAAAGTTACCAAAACCAGGTATACCAGAGGTCACTGGGTCTTATATCGCGCCATTAAATTTTTTGTAGTTTAAGGTTTGATACAAACCTCCTCCTGTTATTTATATTACAAGTAGTGGACAATTGACGAGAATATATTGTTTGATGTAGTTGTTAGACACTAGTGACAAGTAAGTATTCACTGCAACTAAATTTTGTTTCTTTGTGTTCTTTTTTTCCACCATTCAGTGACATCCAATAGACTTAGTGATGCCAAGGTAGATTATCGTCCACAAACCATAAACAAAGAGACAAAGAGATGGGATTGATATAGCATTGTCAACTTTTCATGCCCTCATTCTCTCATGTTTCTTCTTAACACATTATATCGTCAGAATTTAGTTTGTGAAGAGATGCTTTATTGAAATATCCATCGTATTCTAACCAAAGTAATGTGAGATAATAATAGGAAGGTGGTGAAGATGTTAAAATCGTTTCAAATGTTTATGTTGTCAAAATTATAGTTCCATCAAGACACTTTGTGGGATAGAATTTAAAGCATGCCTTTTACTTAGAGCATATGATTAATGACTTAAGAGTAGAGGAAGTTTTTTATTTTTATATTTACCACTAGGTGTTGATATGTGTTAGTCAGTTTTTGTTGGACTTTAAGCATTGGGCTTTAAAGACTTTAAGCATTGGGCTTTAAAGTCTAAGAGTGTGAATTGAGAAATGGTGGAAATAAAATGGAGGGAAGTGAAAATTTGAATCAATTGAGCTTTTGTCATGAACTTTGTACCACATTGGTGAAAGACAACTACACTTGTGTGTATAAATATATGATCACTTCTTAGAGCTCTTAAAAGGAGTTGAAGAGAATGAACCCTCGCGCTGTCGTCATCGCTCGGCTCGGCTTCGGCTTCGGCTTTGGCTTTGGATTTGGATTTGTCAAATGATCGATAAGATTATTTTTTGGACAAAATTTATTTAATTAATTATTTAATAATTAATTAAATGCCAGTCAGTTCATTAACGGAATTAACTGGAATCCGCTGCCTTTGCTGAACGTTGCTTTCCCTACCGAACAGACACTTTTTCCTGAAAAGACATCACACCTCTTCCGATAATTGCCTATAAATTTTGAGGCATGGCTTCTTTTTCCACTCACTGAAAAAAACGAAAATTCCCTTCTGAATACTGCATTCTACTTCGCAGGCTCTCTCTCTCTCAAATTCGTAAGTGTGATTTTGCTCCGTTCTTTGAGTTCGTTGGTATCCTGCAGTTTGTATTGCCACTGTTGCAGGAAGGTTTATTCCGTTTCATCCTGGGAGGATTTAATCCATTACCTTGGCAACTTGTGAGGGGGTTAAAATTCCTCAAGGACACACAAGGAAATTGTGGACTCGGAATATTTCTTGTCGTTTACAAATTTTCTGTTTCTTCTAACAGTTTTATTATTTCTGTTTTAACACAGTGTAGTCAACAAGCTTAAGGAATTTTAAACTAACATTTCTGTGTTGAAATATATATTGAACTGTTATCTATATTTTGTATACTGGTTTGGAGACTAAAGCCTTCGTGCTTTCTACTCCAATAATTGTTCTGTCCGGTTTAAAGTATAACAAAACTTTACCGGAATAATAAACGTACGGGTTTGAAGTATATAAAAACTTCACCATTGTTACGTGTTGTATGTTTGGTTTGGTATTCAGTTTGAAGATATCAAAACTTCACTGATTTAACAAAGTTCTGTTTTGTTTCCAACTCTACAGAAACATGACGAATGAAAACCAAACTAATGGAAATGTTGCGGGAATGGGTGCTACTGTTACGAGTGTTGCTGCCTCGTCAAGCCGTTCAACTCCTGCTCATGCTATGGCACCAGCAGAAAAACCCGGAAAGTTTTCCGGTATTGACTTCAAACGTTGGCAAATGAAGATGCTCTTCTATCTTACTATGTTGAGTTTGCAGCGATTTATCAAGGAGGATCCTCCGGTCCTGGCTGAAGGCACTCTGGATGACGAACGATTTGTAGTAACTGAAGCATGGAAACATTCTGATTTCTTGTGCAAAAACTACATTTTGAGTTGTTTAGAAGATAGCTTGTACAATGTCTACAGTGTCATGGAAACTTCAAAAGCGTTATGGAGTGCGCTTGAGAAGAAGTACAAGACTGAGGATGCTGGACTTAAGAAGTTCGTGGCTGCAAGGTTTTTGAATTTCAAGATGATTGACACTAGGTCGGTCATAACTCAAGTCCAAGAATTACAAGTCATTGTGCATGACCTCCTTGCTGAAGGTATGACCCGAATCAATAATTTTATTAATAAGATTTATCTTGTTATTAATTATGAATTTATTATTGAAGGTATGGTCATAAATGAGGCCTTCCAAGTTGCCGCTTTCATTGAGAAGTTACCTCCGTTGTGGAAGGACTTTAAGAACTATCTAAAACACAAGCGGAAGGAGATGACACTTGGAAGAAGACAACAAAAATGCTGAAAAGAAGTCACGTGGAAACTCGACAATAATAAGGGCTAACATTGTTGAGGAGGCGCCACAAAATAAGAAGAGAAAGAAGGCTTCTGGGCCAAAGAATTACCCAAGCAAGAAAAAGTTCAAGGGTAATTGCCACAACTGTGGAAAATCTGGGCATAAGGCCGTGGATTGTCGTGCACCAAAGAATGATAAGAAGAAGAAGAAGAATCAAGCTAACATGGTTGAAAATACTGAAGAAATGGAGGACTTGTGTGCCATGTTGTCTGAATGCAACTTGGTAGGAAATCCTAAAGAATGGTGGATTGATTCTGGAGCCACCCGCCATGTTTGTGCTAACAAGGAGTTATTTTCTTCCTATGCCCCAGCAGGACCCGACGAGATAATTTTCATGGGAATTCGTCTACAGCCAAAATTGAAGGAGTTGGCAAGATTGCGTTGAAGATGACGTCGGGAAAAATTGTGACTCTAAACAAAGTTCTCCATGTTCCAGAAATTCGCAAGAATCTTGTGTCTACCTCACTTCTTGTCAAGAATGGATTTAAATGTATTTTTGTTTCTAATAGTATTGTACTAAGTAAGAATGATGTGTATGTAGGAAAATGTTACCTGAATGAGGGCCTTTTTAAGCTAAATGTAATAGCAGTTCCTATCAATAAAGTTAATGCTTCTTCTTACTTACTTGAGTCAAACACTTTATGGCATGCACGCCTAGGTTACATCAACTTCAAAACATTGCGAAAAATGATAAATTTAGAAGTATTGCCAGAATTTGATTGCATTAATTCCAAATGTCAAATATGTGTGGAATCAAAGTATGCTAAGCATCCTTATAAGTCCGTTGAAAGGAATTCAAGCCCTTTAGACTTAATTAACACAGATATTTGCGACATGAAGTCAACACCATCTCGCGGTGGGAAAAAATATTTTATTACTTTTATTGACGATAGTACGAGATATTGCTATGTTTATTTACTTAATAGTAAAGATGAAGCAGTTGATGCTTTTAAGCAATACAAGAGTGAAGTTGAAGCACAATTAAACAAAAAGATCAAAATGATAAGAAGTGATAGGGGTGGCGAATATGAATCTCCTTTTGAAGAAATATGTTTGGAAAATGGCATTATTCACCAAACAACTGCCCCTTACTCTCCACAATCTAATGGAATTGCGGAGAGAAAGAATTGAACGTTGAAAGAAATGATGAATGCATTGTTAATAAGTTTTGGTTTACCACAGAAATTGTGGGGGGAAGCTATACTTACAGCTAACCGAATCATCAACCGTGTACCTCATAGTAAAACACAGTCCATTCCTTATGAAAAATGGAAAGGAAGGAAGCCTAGCTTGAAGTACTTCAAAGTGTGGGAATGTTTAGGTAAGGTACAAGTTCCTAAACCTAAAAGGGTTAAGGTAGGTCCAAAAACGGTTGATTGTGTATTTATTGGATATGTAACCAATAGCAAGGCATATCGTTTTCTGGTTCATAAATTAGAAAATCCTGAGATTCACATTAATACGATAATAGAATCAGATAATGCTGAATTCTTTGAAACTATTTATCCGTATAAAAAGGAAAGTGAATTGACCTACCTGTCACGACCCAATTCCCGAACCCGGTCGTGATGGCGCCTCTCGTGAAGACAAGGCCAGCCAGACCAATACAGAACACCTCATTTAAGCAGTTATTTACTATTAAGCAATTATGAAGCATGATTTAATAACAATAAATTCGCGGAAACATAGATAATAATAGTAGAACCATCCCGACACAGCCCAAACCGGGGTGTCACAACTCACGAGCGTCTATTAGAGTGTAAATCCAACTACAAGGTCTAAAATATACAAAACAGGAATAATGAACAAAAAAGAGAAAAGCGGTGCTGCGAACGCTGGCAGTCACCTCGTTAACTCCTATAACTCTGCCCCTGATCAGCCAAAACCCGCTACCGGGTGAATAAATACCTGCATCTGCACACGAGGTGCAGGGAGTAAAGTGAGTACTCCAACTCAGTGAGTAATAAAGGTGAATAACAACTGAGCAGTAAGAAATCACGTAAAGCAACCAACATGCTGTATAGAAGCAGTGTACAATCCTTTGAGAAAACAGTGAAACCGTGAAATCTTTAGAAATATCTTGGCTCAGTTTAAACCTCTTTTGAAAATGATCTTTTCAACAATTACGAAATGATTTCAAACAGTTAGTGCCGATAAACACAGAAAATCCGCCCCTCGGGCACAATACCACATAATAGGTAAAATGACAAGCAAATATGAAAGATGAACACACGAAAATTCGCCCCTCGGGCAATATCTCAGAACAGTACCAGCCCCTCGGGCTACCTCACAATCACTCGTATCAGCCCCTCGGGCTACCTCACCATCACTCATAAAAGCCCCTCGGGCTCACTCTCAACATAGTATCAATCACTCAGAATAATGGGTACCCGCGCTCACTGTGGGTGTGCAGACTCCGGAGAGGCCCCTTACGGCCTAAGCGCTATATCAAGCCACCTCGTGGCATCATCACTTGGCACTCGGCCTCGCATCACTCGGCACTCGGCCTCCCATCACTCGGCACTCGGCCTCACATCACTCAAGCCACCTCGTGGCAT